ATGAGTTTTAAAAGCGGGAGAGTAGCAGTTAGAAAAAACAAAATTAAATCCTATATAAACCAATACTTGGTGGTCTTGGGTTGGAATAGAATCTATGATTGCAAAACCTGACCTGTCTGGTTTATTTCATTTTGATTTACCCATGTCTTGGATAGGGCAAAAAAGGTTCAGAATGCACAGCCTTGCCTGTCTAGACAGTTTTTGCTTTTCAGTTTAAGATTTGCTACTTTATTTCTGCAGATGCCAAAAAAGTCTAACCTTCAATACTTGGAGGATTAAAGAACTGAGTTTGGGTTTACTGCTATAGCAGTGTAATCTCAACTCCAAATGTACAAGAAACAATAATATTAGTGAGGTGCCGTCAGCAACTCTGTAATTCCAATAGTCAGGGTTTCCATTACCCACCCCAGTATGATTTTCAAGGGTTTATATAACATGATCACCAAAAAAAAAAAAAATGCTGTAGGCTGAAAACCTGGTCTGTGTCACTCTTGCACCAAATGAGTTTTTAAAGTCTGGTTTGTGCTTCTCTTTTATCCTGATTCAAATATGTATTAGTTTTAAATGCTACACACAACACCAAAAAAACTCTTAAAACCAATGAGCCAAGCCTATTACACACGGTACTGGCTTACTCAGAATGCATTAATGAATTTTGGATACTCCCATACAAGCTTTCAATGAACTAAAAGTGATCAGTTCAATTTTTTTTTATAATTTCTACCAAAAAAAAAAAACCCTACCAAAATATAAACTACTAACATAAACCTCTCTTTTTCACATCAGACAACTTTGTACAGTGGAAACATCACTTGATTTGAAGCTTCGGCTCTGCCAATTATTAGCTGTATGAAACTGTCTATATCATTTATTCTTCCTGACACCATAAAATAGAGGTAATGATATTTATACTAAATACAGGGTTCTTGTGACAATCAAATGAGACTATAAAGTGCCTTGTAGACTGATTGAGTATTGTTATTGCTATCTCCTTCACAATAATTACTCTCTGATGCCTAATCAAGATACACAGAGATGACAGCTCTTGAGGGCTATGCTAACAGAAGGGAAAGACTTTAGGTACGATTCCTCTGGCAGATCATGTATCTGCCATTCATGGGCCAATCTAGCTAAGTTTTGGAGAGACACACCATTAGGTTGACCACAACGTGGTGTTCATTTTCCTTATAGACACTCTCAAAACCCATCTACTAAGCCATGCATTTGTGGAGAGAATACCACACCAACAAAATCAGGGATGCTTGAAGTATTCAGATGTCACCCTGGAGATCATTACTAAACTGAAACTATCTATCTCTTCTTTTAAACCCATATAAATTCCTAGGGGAACTCAACTAAATTTGGTCCTTTATGGAGGAAAGTGAGAGGGAATTTCAGTTCAGAAAACCAGTAAAGTTTCCATCACCCTTCAGTTTTTTTTAAGACTTTCACAAATAAATAATCAAGTCAATTAATAAAGGCCTTTCATATGGTTGCTAGAAACTATTATCTAGGAACCTATATATATATATATAATATATATTTATATATATAATATATATATATATTATATATATATATATATATATATATATATATATATACACACACATGTAACTGATAGGGTGGGAATAAGAGGCTCTAACTCCATTGGAGAGGAGGTTGAGGATATAAGAAAATGTCTACAAAAAAGCACTTGAAGGGAACAACTTAGTTTCTTTTATACTGTTATCCAAGGAATAGTTGTTACAACTGGAATAACTGCCTAGCCCCTACGGAGCAATATTTACACTTCAAAGAGACTTTTATCTGCTAAGACATTAGGCTAATCACACCTTCAGGTCAGAGATAATTTTGGCCCTAGGGAATTAGATATTTGGCAAGCCAAAGGAAAGTCATATACTTTTATTTGGTTTGGATGAGGGTAGGTTGTGAGGCCTTCAGAGAAGGAAAACTGAAGATTGCATGAGACTAAAAAAGGTTTGTAAGTAGGTGGGCAGGTGACTCAGCTGAAGGGGCACTTTGGTCTCTTTAGCTTTTAATTTTCTGGTTACTAATTCTAACTTGTTCTTAATCTATGAAGATGAAAATTATTTTCTTTTATGAAAATAAATCAAAATACAGAAAGGATTTTCTATTAAATTCAAAAAAACTACTATGGCACTACAATTACTTCTAAATCCATAAGACTGGTGCCTGACAAGCCTATATCTGTAATATTCTTAGTCATTAAGTAACTCCCAATAATTGCATGTTTAAAAGTACTTCATTTTTTTTAAAATATGGAACTGTTTGCCACTTTTGTTATTTATATTCAAACATATATTTGAATTGACTGAAAGGTTACAATAGTATCAAAAAGGCAATAAACCTTTGGTCAATTGGTCACAAGCTGGGAATAAATGTGCTTTTTTACATTTAAGGTCTAGATTGGTATGCATTTCATGCCCATGAAAGCGGGGACAGTATTTTGCCATTTTTGTGTCCCCAGTGCTCAGCAAAACATCTGGAATATAATAGAAGACTAATAAATGCTCATGGACTGACTTTTGGCAGCCCTTGACACCACTGAATTAACTTTTCTGAATACATTTTCCTCTCCAGCTTTTCATGACGCATCTCTCCTGTTTAGTCTCTTATTTATCTGACTACTAAATCTCCTTTGCTGGTTCTTTATCCTTGTCACATCCACATACCCACTATGTGTAGGGGCTCCCTCAAGGTCCTGTCTTCTGTCCTCTTATCTTCTCTCTCTATACCAGGTTCTTAACTGTTTTTGTGTTATGGACCCCTTTGGCAGTCTGGTGAAACCCAACAATCCCTTCTTAGTTTTTAAGTGCAAAAATAAAAAAGGATTACAGAGAAAACCAATTATATTGAAATACAGATTTTTTTTTTTCCCATCCAAGCTATGGGACTCCTGAAATATGTCCATGGACCCAGGTTTGAGAAGCACTGCTTTATATTATTTTGCTTGGTGATCTTATCAACTCCCATGGTTCAATTTTCATCTGTATGCTGATACCCAGATCTATATTCAGCCCTAACCTCTCTCCTAGGCTTCAATCTCACATTATCAATCTCTTTTCATTCATACCAACCTCCAATCCAACATGTACACAATGGAACACATTATCTCTGCCCCAAATCTTCCCTTCATCTTAATTTTCCTATTTTTGTGGGGGGTACCTCCATCCATTGAGTTATCCAGGCTCCCAACCTTGATGTAATTCTTGAATCTTCACTTGGACCTAGGTCATATATCTAATTTTTTTTTTCAAATTTTGTCATTTTTTTTGCCTTAATCACATATCTCAGATGTGCCCCCTTCTTTTCAGTCACACAGATGCATCTATAGTGTAGGCCCCTACCATGTTATCCCTGGACTGTTGCAAAGGTTTTTGGTTAGTCTCCATCCTTCAAGTTTTACGCTACTCCAGCCCATCTACTGCTCACCTGCCAGTGATCTTTGTAAAGGACAAGTCTGACCATGTTACCCCATTATTCAATAAACTCCAGTTACTCCCTATCAGCTTCAGGATCAAATATAAGATTCTCTGCTTGGAATTTAACACCCTTCTAAATGTGGTCTCTTCTTTTCATGCTTTATTCCCCCTCCACAATCTACAATCCAGCCACACTGGCGTACCTGAAATCCTCCTCTTCCTCATTCTGACTTCTAAACTTCAAAAATAGCTCAAATTTGAGCTAATAGAGGCCTTCCTTGTCCCTTTCCTTAACCACCCACTCACAGCTTTCAGGTTAATTTTTTCTACTCTGTATTTATCTTGCATGTACAGTTATTTACATATTATCTCTCTCATTAGAATATATGCTGCTTGAGGGAAAAGGCTATTTTTTTTAGGCAATTGGGGTTAAGTGACTCGCCCAGGGTCACACAGCTAGTAAGTGTCAAGTGTTTGGTCTGAGGCCGGATTTGAACTGAGGTCCTCCTGCCTTCAGGGCCGGTGCTCCATCCACTGCGCCACCTAGCTGCTCCGAAAAGCCTATATTTTTACATTTCTTTGTAACCCCAGAGTTTAACACAGGGTCTAGGCCATAGAACACATTTAATAAATGCTTGTTGTTTCACTGACTAAAAATGATTAGAAAATTATAGTCAGAATGGACCAATTAGAAACATAAAGTCTGGGTTGGAGATAAAATTATGACCTGTGGTGAAAGCTGTTTCCTATATATTATGACCAGTAGCCCTTCAAGCATCAGTATAATAGAGATTTACTTACCTTAGAGTTTTGACTTTGATGTAACAGATCAAGAATAAGGCTTTAAATGCTTTAAAATGTGTGGTATTAACACAAATTCACAAATAACCAGAAGGTATTGCTAAGTAAAACTCAGTTGTTAGTCAGAAAAAATGTCAGATATTTCATGGTTTATTTTAATCTTCATATCTTTAACAGTACAGCAAAGTTGGGAGGTCCACCCCCCCCCCACCCCTCTGCAAGGAGTTACTCAATAAAGGCAGTTTTATATAGACTCTTCAGTTTTTCCTTCTGCCTCATTTAAGTTTTATTTAGTTGTATTCATTAAAATAAAGTGAAATTTGGATATGTTCATCTGCTAGTATCTTCCTAGCTCAGGTCTCGACAGCAACAAACATTGCAACAGTCCTCTAACTGTTCTCTCTGCTTCTTCTCTCTCCCTGCTCTATGACATCCTACATGTCACCACTACCTTCAAGGCCCTACTTCTGTGCATCTGAGACTATGTCTTATACATTGTGGGAATTTAATCACTAAGCTTTCGGGGATTTGTTTGTTACTTTGCACATATGAAAACAATTCACACATTGTTGAAAACAATTAAATACTTTGGTATCTATTATGAGCAAGAAGGTACAATTTTAGAGAATATATTTACCCAGCATTTTGTGAATAAAGGGCCATTGAATTACTCCTGAACATAACAAGTAGAGACTTTCATTAGCAGCGATATGACCACCATATACATGCAATTAACACAACCCCCATACTCACAGTTATAATTAGGTGCGATCCGATGTTGAGCCTCCAGGCTAGCTAATGTAATGTGAAAGATAATATGCAGCAACAGGAATGATAGACTGGTGAAACACAGGGACTTTAACAAGCGTCCCGTATGTCCTGGAAAACAAAAAACATGCAAACTATGAGAACATTTAGAATACAATAAAGCTAGTTGTATTTATCTTCATTTCTGATTTTTTTCTGTTACTTTATCTGCCCCCACAGTGTTGCTATGAATAAAATATTTTATAAAATTTTAAGGAGATACAGAATTATTCTAACTTAAATTAAAAACCTTCAATTTAGTAATAGAATTGATTATACTATAAATTAGTAATGTAACCAACAAAAAAGACACTGATTTGCCCATATACTTTAGTCAAGAAAGATTCCATTCTTGGTAAAAGTTATCAACAAGGAGGTATGCTCATAATAATCAATTTAGAAAGAGCTAAATTTATAAGAAATGATGTTTTCATGCTTAATTTCCTTTATAAGTTTGATTTTTTATTGGTTCTAAATTGAAATAACTGTGGTTACATTAGTCAAAACTGATCAGAGTGATATTTTCTCATTTACGTCTTTCTATCCCCAGCACTTAAGTCAATGTCTGGCATATAGTAGACATGTAATCAATGCTTGTTGGTTCACTGTGTCTGTCTCTCACACACACACAAGTTTTAGGGGACAATATTTTAAGCAAAAATTCATTACTTATGACTTCCAATCTAATCTTATTTTTCACTTGTATTCATTTTTGTAATCAGGCCTCAAATACTTGGCTCAAAATTGCACCCCTCTCATCTGCATGCTATTATCATAACATCTAAGTGGGGACAAAATACTATTAATGCAATATCAGTTTTGTTAAAAATCATTGATAAGAGTGCTATTCAAACAAGTGCTAATTCCAAGTCACCTACAATGCTCTTTCTTTAGTGAAAATTTTAGTCAATATGAACTTTCTTCATAGTCTTTTTAAATTCATATCTTTCAAATGAATAATATTTTGCTAGTATGCATAGTGTCCCAAAACATTTTTGGACATCCTGTATATGTATTTTAATTGCTTACGTACTTTCCCCAAAAATTATGGTTTTGTGTGTTTGCATGTCTGTATATGCACATGTGCACGTGTGTATATAGTATATTTATATATGTGTATGTGATAGCTATATACCAAATATTGTTAATTTAAAAAGTCTATACTTATTTTTTATGAGTCAGATTTGAGGAATAAGGGTGCTACATCGAGAATAATAACATCTCTGAATATTTCAGATCTATGATTCCATGGACAGGAATTTGCACTGGATAGTGCTATTTGCACTGACAATTTTTTTTTTACATTTTATTAAGTGATTCCATGAATTGCTATAGCCATAAATTCATCATCTACTTGTCAATCTATTCTTGACAATCTCCTCTACTACCACTAGACTGGACTCAGTTGACGGGCTCTCACCATTCCCTTACTTGAAGCCTTTCCAGTTTTATAGGGCCTGACAGAGGTTAGCAATAGTCTGTAAGAGTCGATTATCACTACTCTATAGTAAGGCACCGGAGGAGAGCTCTGTAGGAAGACTTTGTTATCTATCATATACAGAAAAGTACAGGTGTCTCCAAAAGTACAAAGTCAACTACAACACTTGAAATCTCTGTTTATGCTGGACAAAGCATGTACAAAGCATGCATTATACACTCTGAAGAGTCTTCTATTAAAACCAAATTTCTCCAATGAATAAACAAAGCTTGAATGTGTTTATAAAATAAGATTAATTTCTGATGTGATTAATGGTGATAATAATAATAATAATAACAACAACAATGATAATGATGATGACAAAACCATCTTGGTGACAATATAGACCACTTCCACATATAGATCATACCCCTAAAACATGATTTCTTCCAAAGGTAAATGATATATAGTTATCCGAAAAATAACACTGATAAAAACCTTCATTTTCTAGATTGAAGAACGCCTCACATGGTCCACTGCATCTAGTCAATCCTAATCATGCTTCACATTTTAAACAAGTCATCTTCATATCTGACACTGTGAGCATACCAATCCAGGCAATAAGCTCGCCTCTACTCCCCAACTCCCACCCCCCCCATAATTAAATGTGTGAGAGTCAAGTTACCCCCCTATGGTTACAATCATCACTTCCGTAAATTTCTAAATCTAAACACCCCGCCTAGTCATTATTCCACATATGTATTGGCTCCTTCATTGGAATGTATGTTCTTTGAGTGCAGGGTTTGTCTCACATTTTACTCTCAGTGCTTAGTATAGTTCTTGGCACACAGTAATTGTTTAATAAAAGCTTTTTTTTATTTATTCATTTCATTCATTAACATAAAATAAGATTTTGGGGGCAAGTGTGCTCTAATTCATACCAATATGACAATAACAGCATTTGAGAAGAGAAGCAGGCCCTGACTTGTGATTTCATCAATTTAGGGAAATGTTAAAATGTAAATGAAAAGATCATTAAAAGTCAGTCAACTTTTACTAACTGAAAAAATAGTGACTTAGAATACCAATACTGAAACATACTTTCCTTTTTAAAATCAGCAAGGCAAGGGACTGCTAAGAAAGAATGTTTTATATATATTTTAAGATGTTGTCAATGTATTGGATTTTTTTCTTAATTGATTTTCTTTGTTATAAGGGAGGGTTCAATCTCAAGCCAGCTAGAGAGCTATTTAAAAGATGATGTAAAAATAAATGCATCAATCAAACTTTTTATAATTAGAGAAACTGTAATGGGAAAAAAATCTGGCTTAGTATATAAAAGACACATTGAATTATTTGCAGGTATAGTAAGTGCCGAAAGCTATTTTTCCTTTATCGATTTTTAAAGAAAATGTTTTCTAAGTACTCAGCAACAATACATACACACATATGTGTATATATGTGTATATGTACATATGAATGTATATATGTGTATACATACATAGATATATAGATATGTGTGTGTACATATATGCATACATATGTGTGTATGTATGTAGATAGATAGCTAGATAGTCCCACTACCATCTGAAATCCCAATCCCTCCACATTTTGGTAGCATGATCTTCCTAAGCTACTGTGGCCAGGAAGAATCATCATCACCTGGCAATAGTGAGAAGCTTCAGGGGCAGCTAGGTGGTGCAGTGCATAGAGCACTGGCCCTGAAGTCAGGAGGACCTGAGTTCAAATCTGGCCTTAGACCAAACACTTGACACTTACTAGCTGTGTGACTCTGGGCAAGTCACTTAACCCCAATTGCCTAAAAAAGAAATTGACTAGAATAGTGAGAAGCTTCTCCTGCTTTACGAAGCCTCACTCTTAGAAGATGTTAGAATAGGAGCTCACATTCAATATAGCACTTAAACAATCTATCCCTATCTAAAGTTCTATTCCAAGCTCTGCTAGCTCAGTGAGGGCCTGTCAGAGCTTTGTTCCATTGCTAGAGTCTTCCTGAATCAAGGATTGTCTTCACTTTTCAACAAGGCACCAGAATAGGACTTTTAGATAGGGGATCATAGCCTGAAGTCCATCAATAGATTTCAAGTGGTCACTGAACTTGCCTGGGAAAAAAAAATGACATCTTTGCTGTCACTAACTTCTAATTAAAATTTGAAATTATTTGAAAACTCCTCTCCCCTGAGGAGTTCATGGGCTTCACCAGACTACAGATGGAATCCATCATGTACTCATGTGTGTACACATGTGCGCACACACATACATACCATGTTAGAATCTCTGGCTTAAGAAAATACTATAGCAACAGATACTGGAATTGTGATTTCACTGGTATGAAGAACTGTCAGAGAAGGAAATTCCTTCTACTGATACAATTTAGCACTTTGCACTTCACTGCCTAGAGCACTGAGAGTATACATCCAGTATACATTAAAAGTTGGTACTCAAACCTGGGGTCTCCCTGGCTCTGATGACAGCTCTCTAACCATTACACTCTTTGTTTCTTATCACAGCATGGCTTTATTACTCATATATAAACTTGGCATCAGCAAATACATGTGTGGGGAATTTTTTGTGGTTAGATTACTGATGTGCCCTCAGCGTGACATTTTATGGAATGGCCCCAACCCCAGTACAAACAGATGGGTGTTGTTTAAAATTAATTGCAGGCTAAGTTCTTTTGCTGTGGCCCAGGAGACTTCCATTAAAATTGATGGAATGAGTTTCTGAGTCAGGCAAAGCCATATCATGAGAAATGACATATCCCCTACATCAATGTTTTCAATACTTTCTCCCCATGAGATATGCCACCAAAATGCTGCCAAACATGCCTTTCTTGTACTCCAATCAGATTCAGTTGTGTCTACATATATATCTTCTAAGTTAAGCCTCAACTGAAAAAGATATAAAGTTTCTTAAGAAATTAGATCATGTGCACATACAACAAGATTTTGAGAGAATGATTCCTCTGTAGGAGGAAAGAAGGTTTCCAATGCCCAACTTAATTTCTGGGAAGGATAATACCAATAGTTTTGTTTCCTCCTGACCTGGGACAGATTGAGACCATATGTGGAGGACATAATGGTTTTGGGGAAAAGAGATTGAGCATGATTGGACTGAAGTCTAAACAAGAGCCAAGTAGAGGAGATGACCACTAGAGGAGAAAGGAAAGAAACCTGGCTGTGGCTGGCATTGAGCACAATTCGGCTCTATAGTCACCATTGCTGACCTTGTCCACTGAGGCTAGATTAAACAGCTGAGGCCAGAGCAAGAGCAGCATCTAATAGGTGGTGACCTAGAGTTCTTAAACATGTTGAAGTGCTGCTTTCCTCTCATTCCCTATTTATCAAAGGGGGAGGATTTTTATCCAAAGTTCTTCTTTTCTTTAAGTTTGTTCATAGTTCCTGATTTAATTCATAGTAGCTGACTCTAGATAAAATGTGATTGATCATAACTTTTTCAAAGTTTGGGTTGAAGTTTTCCTGAAAAGGACTTGCAAAAGAGAGGGATAGTTATCGACTTCAGTAAACAGGCAAAGGTGAATTATTGGTAAATCTTGAGATTTAAGCCTCAGAAATGATATGAGAAAAGTGATATTAACTTAACAATTTTAATTAAATGTCACAAAGCAGGTAAAGCT